ACATAAGTAATCACCAAGACATTAACGGTAATAATTCTGCAGTGAAAAATAGCGTTTATAATGGAAGTCAATGGGTCAAAAATGGTCCCTAGGGCTCTAAGAGGATGTGTATTGTTAGCTTAGCCACTGAAGCTAATTTAAGGAAGTCAGACTTGAATTTTGAAATGAAATTATGCCAAACTTTTTTTTAGAGAATTTGGCTATATTCCATTCAACACAGTGCAAATGGCTTGTAACTGAAAAACTACAATGTACAAAAATGGTCACAGGGCCTCAGAAGGGAAAGTGGAAAATACCACACTTAACTGAACAACACTGTGTGGCCCATAGAGAGGACTTGGGCATTGATGATGCGTGGAAAGATGTACCTTTGATGCGTGATGTGGGAACTCTTCTTAGAACAGTTTACTCCACTTTCTCTAGATCCACTGTAAAGAGGGGAAAACTGGAAGACCTAGAAAGGTTCTTGATGAGGATGCACTGTCATTCAGGCCTCTGAGTGAAGTGCGATGGCTGTCGCGTCACCAAGCTGTGAATGCTGAGGAACTACACTGTGCTGGAAGAATACTGCAAGAGAGAATCCAGTGATAACAGACATCCAGTGGCAAATTACTGTTACAAAAAGCTAACCGATTCAAACTTCAAGGTTACTCTCACCGCTCTGGGAGATGTTTTGGGTGAGCTGGCACACCTGTGTCTTTCTTTTCAAAGATGCAACCTGACTGAAGGGCACTGCTTGGCAAGAGCAAAGATTGAGAAGTTGCATTCCCAATACTTGACAGAGGAAAAGGATGTTAAGTGGAGTGACCGTGTCATAGAGGCGATGAGGGCCTTATCTGCTGATGGCAGGAATACCAGTGAGATTACTCGTGTTATTCGTAAGCTTTGTGATCACTTGGATTTTCCAGAGGATGAATTATAGGAGTGGTCTGCACTTGACATTGAGGCATTGACCTCAGACATCAGGTTTGAGTATGGAGCAGCAGAGATTGCCACACTGGCAAAGAAGTATGAGGCCATTCTCCACCCTCCACATTCAGTGGAGGTCATAAACAGTGAATATTCTGATTTCAAGTACATACTGAGGCACAAACTTAAACATGGGTCAATCAGCACATTCTCAGATATGGAGGCTGCAACGCTAAAATGTGAGGAGCTAAAACACATCTCGCAGCTTGTGGATATTTGTGCTACATTTCAAGCATCCAGTGCAGATTGCAAAAGAGGCTTTAGTTTAATGAATCGTCTCAAAACAGCATCCAGAAATCGTCTTGAG